GGTGACACACAGAAATTTTTTGCTTTTCTCCTCATATGAACACACTTAAGACATTGATTTTGAACCATGTCTGGTGTCAGGAGAAGATAAGGCAGGAGGATTGTAAGTTTAATCCAACATCCTCAAACCTAAAGCATGTATGTAGAAGAGGTTATCAGTCAGGGTGGTGTAGCAGCATCTTCCTTGCCAGGGTTTAGCAAAAAAAAATCTCTGTGTAGAGCAGAGGTAACTCTGGCCAATCTAACTTTGTTGCTGCATATGCCATGTAGTCACCCGAGTATACAGTGGGAAGAGGCTAGCAGTTTGATCGGTGGCCATCTCCTCTTGCCCACTGAATCTTGAAGACCTTTTGTTGTTGTTGTTGTTGTTTTGCTTTTTTGACACAGGGTTTCTCGGTATTGTTTTGGAGGCTGTCCTGGAACTCACTTTGTAGACCATACTGGCCTTGAACTCACAGAGACCTGCCTGCCTTTGCCTCCCAACTGCTGGGATTAAAGGCATGCACCACCAATGCCTGGCTTCTTGAAGACATTTTTGTTAAGTTTACTTTGATTTGAAAAATTTCCTCTTGAGTCAGCACAAGGACAGATGGTTCAAAAATATCTCAGAGCCTCATAAAGAGACCTCTGGCTTCTTTATGTGTGTCATAACCTCCAAGGCATAAGGATGACCTTCAAGTAGTTAAGGACATCTCCCTAAAACCAGTAGGGCAGATTTTTCATGACTCTCCTGGGAAGCTGAGTAGCAATAGGCTTGGGAGGCTGGACGGTGGTAGGTGTCACATGCCATTAATCCCAGTACTCGGGAAGCAGAGGCAGGCAGATCTGTGAGTTCGAGACCAACCTGATCTACAAGAGTTAATTCCAGTACTGCCTCTAAAGCCACAGAGAAACCATGTCTCAAAAACAAACAAACAAACAAACAAAAACTAAAAAAACCAAGTCTTTGGAGAAGGCAAAAATGCAAAAATGATCCATAAGAAAATTTCCACAAATGCCACTATCCCAAATTGTACAAACAGGAAAGTCCCCCAAGTATGCAACAGGTGGAGATGAAAACCAAAGGTGGCACGGTGGCCATCATGCGACTCAGCTTTGATGCATCTTTGTCAAGCAGCTGTGCTGGCTTTACGACTTTGCTGTCCCCATCAGATATGGCTGTGCCAGGATTAGGATTGTACAAGTAAATATGTTTGCCCCACAAAACTCTCATCAACAATTTCCAAGTCAGTAAATGAAGTTCAATGCTTCTTAAGATGTGATGCCATGAACCTCACACCATTAAAAATTATTTCCCATGTAAGGAAGCCTTTGTTAACTACTCTGAGCTCCTGTAACCATTCCAACGAAAGGAATTACAGCCTTACACAATTTTGTAAGTATTTCTATTGACAGGATATCTAGCAGTACAATAGAATCCTATCAAATGAAGGAACTATGGTTCAGAGGGCAAAAATCTTATCTGAGGCTAGATTCAAATCATAACTGATACCTGTGGTCAGAAAACGTCCATAATCCCATCAGCTGCAGACTTTCTGGTTCAGTTAGTGAGGAAGAAAGGACTCTCGCTCTGTTAGTATGATTCATACATTGCTTCAGAATAGTGTTTCTAGCCGGGCGTTGGTGGCACACGCCTTTAATCCCAGCACTCGGGAGGCAGAGGCAGGTGGATCTCGTGAGTTCGAGGCCAGCCTGGTCTACAGAGCAAGTTCCAGGACAGCCTCCAAAGCCACAGAGAAACCCTGTCTCGAAAAACCAAAACCAAAACCAAACCAAACCAAAACAAAACAAAACAAAAAACCCAGAATAGTGTTTCTACCAAGGCAGTGAGTGATTGCCGTCGTTTTCATTCTGTCACTCTCTTCATAAATACCGTCCTTAAATGTCAGGTAAATGGATGGAACTAGAAAAGGCCCACTGTTGACTCTAACTCAAAAAGACAGCCTGACTTTCTCTGTGTATCCTTCCTCCTCAGTTTCCTCCTGGGATTCTCAGCTTTCCTGTTGTCCTCTCTCACTGTTACAACTGTCCTAGAGCGTCCTCCTCATTGCTTAGATTCCTCACTAAATCTCCATGGCAAAAGGTCAGAAGGGGATTTCCTAGAACAGGCTCCTCTGCAGAGTATGTTTGACAAGAAATTCAGTCATGTGGAGAGGTCAGTGATTTGGAGGGGTTGGGTTGTCACAGGCCCTGAGCCCAATAGTGATTTCTGTGGAGCTACCTTTAGCCTACTGAATAGACAGACAGTTCTTGCTCCCCTCTGTGTTAGTGACATCCTGTCACTAACAGATACAGTCAGGCCTAACATCAATAGAGAATAAGAAATAAAACCTTTGGAATGCATGAACTTAACAACACCCAAGTTCCACCAATGAAAGTCTCAGAATTAGCCCTGATGCCACAGGAGAGCTAACACAGAGATTTCTCAGCTGAGCTGACATCACATTAATATTTCCAGCAATGTACTTGCCTTTTTTTTTTTTTTCAAGACAGGGTTTCTCAGTGGCCCTGGAGGCTGTCCTGGACCTAGCTCTCGTAAACCAAGCTGGTCTCAAACTCACAGAGATCAGCCTGCCTCTGCCTCCTCAATGCTGGGATTAAAGGCGTGGGTCACCAACTCCCGGCTCAAATATGTCTTAAAAGGAGAGGAAAAGGGTTGGCAGCTATGTGGATTGCGTCGTATACTGTATCCTGTGTGTATGTTCAGTCCTGGGTTCCATTCAGTACCAATAAAATGCTAAACAAAATACTAAAAATGAACCACCAGCTCCAGGGGGTTTGTCTCTTTTAATTGGGGTTTTTCTTTTCTTTTTGGATTTTTGTTTTGTTTTGCTTCAGTTTTTGTTGTTGTTGTTGTTGCTGCTTTGTTTTTGTTTTTTGGTTTTTTTTTTTTTTTTTGGTATTTAACCTATGGGTTCCAACATATTAAGCTAGAGGTCAATAGCCCTTTAATTTTATTGTAATTAATGACTTAATTAAAGATTTTTTGAGTCAGGGTTCCTCAGTGTAGCCCTGACTATCCTGGAAATACCTCTGTATACTAGACTGGCCTCAAAAACACAGAGACACCTGCCTCCACATTTGGAATGCTGAAATCAAAGTCATGTGCCACCACCTGCCTAATTTCTTTTTTATTCTTTAAATAAAAGAACCACTGGCACAAAACTTTCTGAGATGAGACTGGTCTTGAAATAACAGAGCCTCCCGTTTGGTAGGATTAAAGGTACATGTCAATCTGCCCAGGCAATTTACTCGTTCTGAGGTAGGGTCTTCCTCAGTGCTGAGGGAATATTGAGCAGCATGGAAAAAGATAGCGTCATGGGCACCATGACTTGAACAAATTTCATTCCCTCTCTGGGTGACACGGCTCTCACTTATTGGCTTCCAGGCCTGGATGCCTAATCCCCTGCTCTGGATGACAAAGTAACATTTGCTGTGGGTCAGTCTCTGCCTTGAAACCATCTGTAAATACAGTGAGTTTTGAGGCTCACTCAGGAGGAAATGAAGCAGAGGAAATGTTATTAGTTGAGGTCCAGCTTCTGCTACATGGTGAATTCTAGGGCAACCTGGGCCATATAAAGGCCCCATTTGGGAGAAAAAAAAATACAAGAAGGAAAGGAAAAAGGAAGGAAGGAAGGAAGGAAGGAAGGAAGGAAGGAAGGAAGGAAGGAAGGAAGGAAGGAAGGAAGGAAGGAAGGAAGGAAGGGAAGATCTGAGTGTTCGTGCACTTAGTGTCAATTCTTTCCTGCCTGAAGATCTGATCCAGACACATCCCAAATCCCAAAACCAGTTAAGCAGATGGAGCTCAACCATCCAATCAAATTGCAGCTCGTGATGGGGCGGGTTTCAAAGGGGAGGGGTTAGGGAGAAGGCCTGAAAAGCTTCAGAGGAGTCAGAGAAGGTACCGGGGTCGAGGAGCAGACAGCCTCTTCCTGTCCAACTGGAAGAAGAAACGCAATCGCCAGTGTCTGCCTGTGGTAAGTCACCCTCCTCCATCAGACACCACGTCTCACCCAGCCCAGCCACTCTCCACAGTAGACCCAATGGCACAGGGAGTTTGAATCTCTGTCTCCAAATGAGGAGTTCCGGGATGGTTTGGACTCCAAATGCAGCTTTGCCTTTATCTTAAATACTGTGAGGGTCTGAGAGAAGTCCCAAAAAGTCCCAATTCCTAAGGGCTGGGTGGGACAGGCATTGTGTTCTCTTTATTCAGTGCTGGGGATCGAGCCCCCAGAGACTCTTGCCTGTTAGGCCAGCACTCCAAAAGTTATTACAGGAAAATAAGAAATTCTGGAGGGTTAGAGGATTTTAAAGGAGGAATACCTTCTTAAAATTACTTAGGCTTCCTTTGTTGCTATTGACAGAGAAATGCTGTTTAATTGGAATTTACTTTGTGTTTGTTTACTATGAAGTCCTGGGAGGCCTGGAACTTGCTATGTGGAGCAGGCTAGGATTCATAGAAATCCTGCTTCTCTGCCACCAGTCCAGGGGAAATGCATGCTTGCATGGGTGACTGTGTTCCTGTGTGAGTCTATGTAGTATTAGTGTTAGAGAGAGAGTTTGTGTGTGTGTGTGTGTGTGTGTGTGTGTGTGTGTGTGTTTGGCTTCAGGTCTTCTCTCGTACTATAGCTGGTCTGGAAGTGCTTGTCCTCTGACTTCTCACCCACCACACTTGGGATGAGAGGCTGATTGGAGTTGTTTTCTTTCTTTTCTTTTCCTTTCTTTTTTTTCTTTATTTTATGTGCATTGGTGTTTTACCTGCATGTATGTTGGTGTCACATTTTGGAGTTACTATGTGGGTGCTGGGAGTTGAACCTGGATCTTCTGGAACAGCTGACAGTGCTCTTTACCACTAAGTCATCTCTCCAGCCCCAGGGTTTGTTTCCCTGTAACTTATTGAGTTTGAGACTTTTAATTGATATTTTCTAGAGATTGATTTGTGTTTCTATGAATTCACATTTCCTTGGATGTCTTACTTGGAAGTTTCCAGGATCCAACAACATGGATACCCAGACCCCACCCACACTGGAGGAGCTGGCAAGACAGGTGCTGCTGAAAAATGAGGCCTTGACCATCTCTGCTCTGGAGCAACTTCCCAAGATGATCTTCCTAGATCTGTTCCAGGAGGCCTTAAGACAGAGACTCCCTAACATTGTGAGGGCTATGATGGCAGCCTGGCCTTCTCTCTACATCCCTATGGGGGTCTTGAAGATCTCCACCAACTGGGAAGTATCTTCGGCTATGGACAAAGGACTGTGGGACCTGCTGACACAGAAAGATCACCCTGTGTAAGTAAGAACCATGTAGGGTCACATGGAGGATTCTGGGGCACAGGGTAGAGATATTGTATTGAGATAATGGGAGTCAGAGCGGGATCATAGGCCTTGGAAGCATCATCTTGTTGGACTGCAGCAGCCTTGACTGCCATTGATCTCTGATGGAGAAGGACAGTTGGGTGTGGGGTGGAAGAGAGAAGATGTGGGCACAGTGGGAGGAGCCTGACCCTGTCTCTCCCACAGGTAGGCACTAGTTGTACCAGGTCAAGAGTAGCAGAATGGAGAGAAGTGAGACAGAGGGCTACTGATGTAGTGTAGACAGAGCCATTGCCTCGGACCATGAGGTTGTTGGAGACTCAGCTGGGAAAACTACAATCCTTATGGGAGAAAGGGAGAGCTGACATTAGAGATGTGTGGAAAGGCTGTAGTGTCTGTGGAGTCTTCTCTCTTAGTGACCCTTCACCTGTTTTACTCACAGGAGGGGGAATCCTCTAATACTCGATTTTCGGGATGTAAGCCATGAGTTCTGGACTCTAAAGGTTAGAACAGAAGATGGGGCTGGCTCAGCAGAGACTGTGAGTGAGAAGCAGACAGTGAAGGCCCCTCCCAGATATGAGCTGAGACAGCGTGTGAAGTTGATAACTGACCTCTACTCCAGGTTCCAACAGGATCTAGAAGGAACAGACTTCTTGCCGGGGGTTCTGCACACAAAAGAGTCCCTACGGATGTGCTGTGTGAACATGAAGATTGTATACTTGTGTGACGGGTCCACAGAAAGGATATTCCGTGGAGATCATATAAATATTTTCCAAGGAATTAGGACACTGCATTGCATTGAGGTATTAGAACTCACCATAGATACAAGTTTCAGCAATATCTTACGATTTTATCGCTACTTCTCAAGCATGAAAAATCTTCACACACTTTCTCTAGTCTTGATGGACAAGAACACATCTGGGTTTTACATTTTTTCAGAGTTCAAGGGGCTTATCCACAGTCTTATATCTGAGTTCTCCAACTTCCGCAGTCTCCAGCATCTCTGTATGAATGGCATCTGTTTTCTCAGTGACCACTTGAGACACTTGCTCAGGTAAGGATGGAATGGACAGAGAGCTTTTTCTGCTACCAGAGAAAAACTGCATTTTATGTTAAAGAGTAGTAGACCTGGTACCTCCCAGTCCATGGAGAATGAATTTTTAAGGAGTCATTAGAATATCAAAGCATGGTATCTTTTTCTGTGTAAACTGAATCTAGGTCTCCCATGACCACTCATGAAGCAGAGGCATGAAGTTTGCATAATACATCACAAATGCAGTTGGATTGGTCAGATTTAGTGAGAATGCTGTACTTTCTCCCTTAGAATCCTGGCTAATCTAATGGGAAGTGAACAGAGAAAGAATGGTACCCAAGAGTAGAGGGTCAGAATACCTGCATAGCTCCCCAGGTGGTCTGTGCTCACAGTGTGTGAACAGGCACCACAATTTCCCATGTAGGAAAAGCTTTGAACAATGAGGGTCTGAGAGGATGGGAAATGGTGACAGTGGGATTGGCAGTCAGTGTTGGTGGAGACTGGGAATCCCCACACAGGTGGTGACAGGAAGAAGAGAGCAGTGACAACTGTCTGAAATGCTCTGGGGTCTTTCATGGGCTGGTCCTTGTGTGCCCTAGGGTATAACAGGTGCACAGGAATTCTGTGTCAGTGAGGAAAGTATGCCGCAGAGCTGTGCACTGAGCCATCCCACAGTGACAGAGAAAGGCAACTGTGGGTGTGGCTTGAGTGATCAGATTCCAGCAGGCAGCACCGTAGGTATTGACTTCCATCATGTGGTCCAACTATCCCAAGGACACCTGTCCCCTACTGCTGTGTGAAACCACTACATGCCCTCTCCAGCATCATTTGTCTGAACTAACCCCTTGGTCTCTGCCTAGGAGCCTGAAGAATCGCCTGGAAACCTTCTCTGTCACTCACTGCCAGCTGACTCGGGCAAACTTTTATCAGTTGTCACAATGTCAGCTCCTCTATCATCTAAAGCATCTGGACATGAGTGGAGTCCTACTGTCCAATTTCTGTATGATGCCTCTCAGGGTTCTCCTAGAGAGAGTGGCAGACACTCTTGAAACTCTGGAGTTAGAGGGGTGTGGGATAAAGGACTCTCAGCTCAGTTTCTTCCTCCCTGCCCTCAGCCAATGCTCCAAGCTCACCAAGGTCAACTTTTATACCAATGACTTCTCCATGAATGTCTTGAGTGACCTTCTCCACCACACAGCCAACTTGAGCAAGATGACCATGGAGCAGTACCCTGCCCCTCGGGAGTGCTATGAGCTGGGTGTGGTCTCCATAGAGAGATTTGTACAAGTTTGCCCTGTGCTCATGGATACACTCGGGGCGGTAAGGCAGCCCAAGAGCATCTCCTTTGCTACAGATGTGTGCAGTAGATGCTCTAAGCGCTGTGTGTATGAGCAGGAGACCAGGCTTTGCCCTTGCTTGCAGTAAAGAGGGGAGTGTTAGTTTTGACTCTGACCTTCTGGGGGTGGCTACATGGAAGGCTTTGTGTAGAGCTTTTAAACTAAAGTGAGCAGTGCAGACACATCTTCTATGAAGGAGGTGTTGGGGAGGTTTTTAAATCTAGGATGCTCAGTGTAGTGTGCAGATAAAAGATTGCAGTAGGAAAAAGCAATGCAGAGCAAATGGGTTGTGTTTCAACCCGTGCTATAATCTTTGCTTTCTCACTTAAAAAATATTTGACTGTAACTTGCTAGCCTTGAACTCTTATAAAAGTTACTTTTCATTGTTTTAGATATGTTTATGTGATGAGTAAGTACATGCCCACTAGTGCAGGTGCCAGAGGCATAGGATCTCTCAATCAGTTGCCTGACATGGTTGCTAACAGCCAAACATGGGTGCTCTGGAAGGAGAAGCAAGTGTTCTACAGTCCACAGGCATCTCTGTCTCTCTCAAGCAACTGACCTTGAACTCCTCTCTCTCGGCCTCCACCTCACCTCCACCACATTCATAGCTCTTTAAAAGCTAGGTGGTCACTGGTCAAACATTCTTCTACTCTCCTGAAGCCCTTCTTACTCCAGATAACGGTTCAATCGTGATCTCCATCTTTATTTTTTAAACTCACTTATCCCTTAATCATTCTTGTATTTGTGAACGTACACTTAGGGCCAAAAAACAATTTTGGATCATAGTCTTTTATGTTATTTTTGTGTTTATGATAATATAGATCGCCGGGCATTGGTGGTGCACACCTTTAATCCCAGCACTCGGGTGGCAGAGGCACGCGATCTCTGTGAGTTCAAGGCCAGCTTGGTCTATAGAGCGAGTTCCAGGACAGCCTCCAAAACAATACAGAGAAACACTGTCTCGAAAAACCAAAAAATAAAAATAAAAAATAATAATATAGATCGTTTGCTTCAATATACATCACTGTTGTTGGCTGAATTCTGTATAGCAATTAATTTTAAGATTTTGTATCAAGTACACTCTGGAAAGAAAGAAAAACATGAAAAGAAGTGATTGTTGTCGCAGTACTATTTGAGACATAATCTTAAACTTGACCCTTGCTAGGAAACAGGATCTGTCATAATTCACTTCAAAACATACTCATGCTGAATATCATAAGTTGCACATTGACCCCAAAACCGTATCATGTCCAAATGGTTTTATATTTTGCAGTCAGTGCTCACAGACCAAAATATTTATAGGAAGAAGTATACAGACAAGACTTATTCAGTTCATCTGCAGAGAGGGGAGGACACTGTAAGCAGGTTCTGCATGCCAGGCTCTCACATGGGTTCTAAGTCTTCATAGGCACAGAGTTTATGATGATGGAGTGACACAGCAGGGCCACAGAGATGAAGTTTACATAGAGGAGATATCATCCTCCTGCCTCGCTGGTTCATCTCTAGGTACAGTTTCAATATGAGGCCCTGAACACGCAGATTCTGGTCACCAGTTTACAGGGGACAAACACTGATGTTCTTTCAACACATACTATGAAACACAGGTAACCTGGCCAAAGGTCAAGGAACTGAAGAAGAAAAGGTATCATTACATACAAGGCAAATGTTCTACCTCGTAGTCAAGCCCCAGAACGTTAGAAAATGTGAGGGTATATGGTTATTAGTGATGCTGCTTATATTTTAGAGCCATTGTTTCAACTTATAGAACAGATTGGTTTGAAACTCACTTGGAAGATTATTCTGCTCTCAATCTCCCAGCCATCCTCCTGTCTCAGTTAGGAACATAGCTCACCTGGTTGGGTGCTTGCCTATGCATTATGAATTCCCTGGGTTTGATCCCATGTCCCCAGCACCGCATGACAGCAGCTGTGGTTGTCCGTGCCTGTAATCCAACACAAAAGTGGAGGGGGAAGGGGGATGTGAAGTTCAAGGTCTTCCTCGGGTTTATAGTCAGAGGCCACCAGGGTAAGTGAGGCCCCGACTCAGAACAGCTAAGAGCTAAAGACACTGCAGGAACTCCAGTAGACCTTACTAAAGCAAGAACAGCGCTGAAACAGACGCAAAGACTGCAAGAGGACAGCAGCCTGTCCCGAAGTGGTTGCTGCTCTGCAGAGCTGGGCCCAGTCTAAGAGAGCAAAGAGGAAACCTGTATCTGAAAAATGTGAGTTCAAGTGGTCCCAGTTGCACAGGGAAACTTGCTATACTGCAGTCCTGGGGCGGAGCTTGGAGGTCATTATCTGGATGTTTGGTGACATAAGCACCATTGGTCTCGTGACATGGATAGTGGAAAGTGTCAGGTGTCCCTCTTTACAGGATGCAGGAGAGGCTTGCAAACTTCTGTGGTCTTGTGTGTCCAATAATATCTAATAACAACAAGGGCAGACTTTCTGATGCAGTTTTTATACCAGATCTCCATTTCCTTTTGGTTGAATTAGCCAATCTCCTACGTGGTAGTATTTGTGTGAAGTAACTGTCTAGGCTGGAGAGATGGTGTAGCAGGTCAGAGGACTTGCTGCTCTTGCCGAAAATCAGAATTTGGTTTCCAGAACCCATGACTGGCACCTCAAACCACCTGTAATTTCTAGCTCTGGAGGATCCTAAGGCCTCCACTGGCCACTGCCAGCAGCCCCGGCACACATACACTGCATATACTCACATAGACTCACATGTACATATACAGAAATAAAATATCAAAAAATCTAGCCATAAAAGGGAAGGTTTTAATGGGACAAAATTATAGGGAGCCTTAATTACCTCATTTCTATGCTCCCTACAATTCCTCCCTTCCCTTCCACATCAGTTTCAAGTTTGTGATCTTTCTGTAATTACTATTTATTTATATGCAAATAATATATAAATTCAATATTGAATCCATCTACTGTTGGATGTACACTTTCAGGGTTTTTTTCTTGGGTGACCATGAGGGTTCTCAGCTCTAGGGAAGATAAATCATACCTCTCAGCAGTTTTTTAAAATATATTTTATTCATTCATTTAATTGTTTATTTTACTGTCCTTCCCCCATTCCTCTCCCCCCAGTCCTTTCCTCATCTCCTCTGTGCCTGTCCCCACCCCTCCATCTTCTCCATCCCTGTTGAAAGGAAGGCAGGCCTTCCATAGAAATCCACCAGACATGGCATACCAAGTTGAAGGCTCGCTGAGGCAACCCTGTGTGAGGATGAGTGTGCAAAAGCCAGCACGAGTCAGGCAGCCCCTACTCCCGCTGTTGGGAGTCCCACAGGAAGAGCAAGCTACACGACTGTCACGTATATGCAGAGGGCCTTGATTAGCCGCATGCAGGCTCCCTGGTTGTGGGTTCAGTCTCTGGGAGCCCCTGTGGACCCAGGTTAGTTGTTGTGGGTTTTCTTGTGATGTTCTTGACCCCTCTGGCTCCTACAATTCTACCTCTTCCTGTGTTCTTCAGGATTCCCTGAGGTCTGCCTAATTTTTGATTGTGGGTCCCCATAAATGTTTCCATTAGTTACTGGTTGAAGCTTCTGTTAACTGTTGGGCTAGGCATCAATTTATGAATATAACAATATCATTAGGAAGCATTACAATGATAGTATTGCCAGAAGTGTTTGTTTCTTTCCTAGGTCTCTGTCTAGGTCCTGGCCTTCCGGGCAATGTCAGGGATGGGCTCTCTCTTATGGCCAGGGTTTCAAGCTGACCAGTCATTGGTCAGTCATTCCCACCAGTTCTGTGTCTCTTATACTCCAGCACATCTTATGGGCAGGACAAATTGTAAGCTGACTGTGGCTGGGTTGGTATTCTAATCCCTCCTCTGGAAGTCTTATCCAGTTATAGAGATGGTCATTTGACATCCCATATCCCCAATGGCTCTCTTCTGTCAGGATACCAGGGTGGTCTAAGAGCTCAGACATAAGCTCAGCTTCCAGCAGGTTTTAATCACCTATAACCCTCTATTTGGAGGAGGGGTGGAGTCCTTAGTGCTGTTCATCAGCTTTTTGTACACAGTGTAGTAACAGAGCAGGGTACAGACTGATCTCCACAATGTCCAAGTTAAAAGAGCTGTAAGGAAACAGTTATGGTGGCATATACTGAGAATCCCAGCTCTTGGGGCTGTAGGCATGAATATCTAGATTTGATGATTATCATCTACTAGCAAGTTTATGTCCAGCTCGGGCTACTTAGTGAGTTTAGGCCAAACTGGAACGAACAGTGGGACACTGTCCCAAAACAAGTCATAAAAATTAAAGATTGTGCCAAGGAAATAAGAAGATAGTTTGGTTCCAAACTGGTGCACAGGGCCCTCACTCTAGCTACTCTGACTGCCTAAACATGGAAATTAAAGGTCAATCTGCCCAGTCCGTTTAGTGACAAGTGAAAAGTAAACACAGGGCATGCACATTTCTTGTTACTTTTTAGAGTCTTTGCCCAAGAAGGAAACTCGGCTGGGTGTGGTGGCTCACACCTTAAATTCCAGCACTGAGAAAGCAGAGGTAGTTGGATCTCTGTCACACCTTAAATTCCAGCACTCAGGAGACTGGAGTAGGTAGATCACTGTCACACCTTAAATTCCAGTAGTCAGGAGGCAGAAGTTGGCAAATCTCTGTTAGTTCAAGCCAGCCTGGCCTACACAATGAATTCTAGGACAGCCAGGATTCACCGGAAAATCTTGTCTTAAAAATTAAAAAAACAAAAACAATAAAAATGAGAATAATTAGGAAGTGGGGAGAGATATAGGAAGACCCTCCTGTAGGCAAGTCTTTGGGGGCACTTTCTTGATTAGTGATTGATGTGGAAGGCCTCAGACTATTGTTGGTTGGGCAGTGGCCCACTTAGATGCTCCTGGGTTAGAGAAGAAAGCAAGACCTAAATGATTAGTTGTCTATCCATGAGTGGTGCCTCAGTTTCTGCTTTGGGCTCCTCATCTGACTTCCCTTCATGACAGACTGTAAGGTGTAAGGTGAATTAGACCTTTCTCTCCTCATGTAGGGTTTAGTCCAATTTTTATCATAGTAACAGAAAAATATACACAAAACAGTCTTTGGCATTCCCTGGGTCCAATTTTCAATACCACCAGAAACACATTGATTTGTGGAAGAAAGATTAAGGCTCTGCAATTGGGTTGTATTTGCACCCTTGTTTGTAACTTTTTGTGGATGAAATCAACAGACTTGTGCACTGTGGACAAATTTAACTTTTTTGCTGCATATGCCACGTAGTCAACTGAGTATACAGTGGAAAGAGGCTTGCAGTCTGTTCTGTGGCCAACTCCTCTTACCCACTGAATCTGGAAGACTTTTTTGAAGTTTACTTCATTTTGAAAATCTTATTTCTGAGTAAGCACAGGAACAGTAGTTTCCAGAATATCTTTGAGCCTCATAAAGAGACCTCTGGCTTTTTTTAAGTGGCTCACAACTGCCAAGGCATGAGTAAGAGCTTCACGTATCTAAGGATATCTCCCTAAAAGCAGGATGGGTAGTGTGTTCAGGACAGTCCTGGGGAAGCTTAGAAGCAATAGTCTTGGGAGACGGCATGAATGATTCATAAGAAAATTTCCACCAATCCCGTATCCCCAAATTGTACAAACAGGAAAGTCCCCCAAGTATGCAACAGGTGGAGATGAAAACCAAAGGTGGCACGGTGGCCATCATGTGACTCAGCTTTGCTGCATCTTTGTCAAGCAGCTGTGCTGGCTTTACGACTTTGCTGTCCCCATCAGATATGGCTGTGCCAGGATTAGGATTGTACAACTTCAATACGTTTTCCCCACAAAACTCTCATCAACAATTTCCAAGTCAGTAAATGAAGTTCAATGCTTCTTAAGATGTGATGCCATGAACGTCACACCATTAAAAATTATTTTCCATGTAATGAATTCTTTGGTACACACTCTTAGCTCTTGTAACCATCCCAATGAAAGGAGTTATAGCCCTACACAAATTTGTAACTACTATTGTTGAAAGGATGTCCAGCACTGCAACAGAATCCTATCAAATCAAGGAACTCTGGTCCAGAGAGCAAAAATCTTTTTTTTTTTTTTTTTGGCTTTAGGTTTTTGAAACAGGGTTTCTCTGTATTGCTTTGGAGCCAGTCCTGGCCCTGGCTCTGTAGACCAGGCTGGCCTTGAACTCACAGACATTTGCCTGCCTCTACCTTCTGAGTGCTGGGATTAAAGGCGTGTGCCATCAATGCCTGGTTAAGGGAAAAAACCTTATCCAAGGCCAGATTCAAATCATAGTTGATAACAGTGGTCATGAAATGTCTATCCCTGTCAGCTGCTGTGCTCTTGATTCAGTTAGTGAGGAAGAACGGACTCTCCCTCTGGTAGTATGGTTGATACATTTTCCAGAATATTGTTTCTACCAAGGCAGTAATTACCATCATTTTTTGTTCTATCACTCTCTCTATCTTTTTTTGTTTTGTTTTGTTTTTTTCGAGACAGGGTTTCTCTATATTGTTTTTGAAGGCTGTCCTGGAACTCACTCTGTAGACCAGGCTGGCCTCAAATTCAGAGATCCGCCTGCCTCTGCCTCTCGAGTGCTGGTATTAAAGACATGCACCACCAACACCCAGCTGTCACTCTCTTCATAAATACTGTCCTTAAGTGTCAGGTAAATGGATGGAACTAGAAAAGGCCCATTGTTGACTCTAATCAAAAAGACAGCCTGACTTTCTCTGTGTATCCTTCCTCCTCAGTTTCCTCCTGGGATTCTCAGCTTTCCTGTTGTCCTCTCTCACTGTTACAACTGTCCTAGAGTGTCCTCCTCATTGCTTAGATTCCTCACTGCATCTCCATGGTGAAAGGTCCCCTCTGTGTTGGTGACATCCTGCCACGGACAGATGCAGGCAGACCTGTATCTTTTCTTTTTGTATTTTTTGGGGGGGGATGGTGTTTAACTTATTAGTTCCATCATATTAAGTCAGAAGTCAATAGCCCTATAATTTTATTGTAATTAATTAATTTATGGGTTTTTGAGACAGGATTTCTCAGTGTAGGCCTGGCTGTCCTGGAACTACCACTGTATACCATACTCCCCTCAAACACACAGAGAGGCTTGCCTCCACCTCCCGAGTGCTAGGATTAAAGTCATGTGCCACCACACCCTGCCTAATTTCTTTATTATTATTATTATTTTAAATAAAAGAGCCACTGGCACAAAACTTTCTGAGATGAGACTGGTCTTAAAACAACAGATCTAAATACCTCTGCCTCCTGTTTGCTAGGATTAAATATACCTGTCAATCTGTCCGAGCAATTTACTCCTCCTGAGGTAGGGTCTTCCTCAGTGCTGAGAGAATATTGAGCAACATGGAAAAGGATAGCAACACAGGCACCATGACATGGACAAATTCCATTACCACTCTGGGTGACAGGGCTCTCACTTACACAGGCCTGGATGCCTAATCACCTGCTGTGGATGCCAAAGTAACCTTCCCTTTGGGTTCGACTCTGCCTGGAAAACATCTGTAAATAAAGTGCGTTTTTCCATTCCAGGGCAGCTCTGGAGTAGAGCCAGGCTTTGTCCTGTTTTCCGTCATCCCCTGTGGGGGGCGGAAGGGGTGTTGGTCCGGGAGTGTGTGCCTCCTCCAGAGTCAGGGTCCCAGGTGATTGAGTGTCCGTTGTTTGTGAACTCTGGCCCGTTCTTACTGAGTTATTAGCGGCCTTCATGATATGTGCCTGACCCTCTCTAATACCACTTTATTTCTGATTAATTTGTGATTTTTTTAACTTGTGACACAAGGTTTTACCATGTGTCCCAGATTGTCCAGAACTGTCTGAGTAGCTCAGGCTAGGTAGACACCCAGCCTCAGCTTCCAGTGGCTGACGTTGCAACTGTTACTCAAACATCTGCCGATGTTCTGTTGTTATTCATTTCATTTCCCTTTCTGGTTAGTTTGCTTCTTTCGTTGGGTTTAGTTGTTTGTTTGTTTGTTTTTCTTTTTGGTTTTCAAGACAGGGTTTCTTTATGTAATGTCCTTAGTTGTCCTAGAACTAACTTTGTAGACCAGGCTGGCCTTGAACTCAAAGAAGTCTTCCTGCCTCTGCCGCCCAAATGCCTGGATTAAAACATGGACCACCGTGTCTCTATGGAACACTTCATTAAAACGTAACACTAAATGCCTTGCTCAGTGGCACATGCCTTTAGTCGCAGTTCTTGGGCGACAGAGGCAATCAGATTTCCCTTAAGCTCAAGGCCCCAGCCTGGTCTATGTAGTGACTTCTAGGACAGCCAGGGATAGAAAGGGAGATTGTGTCAAACAACAACAATAATGGGAAAAATATTTACTTTTATAGCCAAGGCTAGCCTAGGAACTCCATCAGTATCTTTGATGACCTCCAACAGTGACCCCTCTGTGCCCACTTCCTAAGGGCGGGGTAGGACAGGCATTGTGTTCTCTTTATCCAGTGCTGGGGATCGAGCCCCCAGAGCCTGGTGCATGCTAGGCCAGCACTCCAAAAGTTAATAAAGAGAAATGAGAAATTCTGGAGGGTTAGAGGATTGTAAAGGAGGAATACCTTCTTAAAATTACTTAGGCTTCCTTTGTTGCTATTGACAGAGAAATGCTGTTTAATTGGAATTTACTTTGTGTTTGTTTACTATGAAGTCCTGGGAGGCCTGGAACTTGCTATGTGGAGCAGGCTAGGATTCCTCCTGTCTCTGCCAACAGGCCAGGAAATGTATGTTTGCATGGGTGAGTAGTGCCTTAGTGCATTCCTCTGTGTGTGTGTGTGTGTGTGTGTGTGTGTGTGTGTGTGTGTGTGTGTTTTCAGGTCTTCTCCAGTACCACAGCTGCTCCGGAAGTGCTTTTCCTCTGGCTTTTCCCCCACCACACACTGGAATGAGAGGTCAGAAGCAGCATGTCTGATTGGATTTGTTCTCTTTTCTTTTTTTTTTATTTTGGGGATTGGTGGTTTACCTGCATGTATGTCCCTGTCAGATGTTGGTGTCACAGCCAGTTGTGGGCACTGCGAGTTGAACCTGGGTCCTCTGAAAGATCAGCCAGTGCTCTTTACTACTGAACCATCAATCTAGCCCCAGGATTCATTTTCTTGTAACTTAGTTTGTGACTTTTAACTGATACTTCCTAGATATTGATTTGTGTTTAAATTACTTTGGATGTCATTCTTAGACATTTCCAGGATCCAACAAGATGGGCGCACGGACCCCACCCACACTGGAGGAGCTGGCAAGACAGGCGTTGCTGAAAAATGAGGCCTTGACCATCTCTGCTCTGGAGCAACTGCCCAAGATGCTCTTCATAGCACTGTCCCAGAAGGCCTTAAGTTGGAGTCTCCCTTACATTGTGAGGGCTATGGTGGCAGCCTGGTCTTCACCCTACTACCCTATGGGGGGTGTTCTTAACCTCCCTGGAGTTTAATCAGGTTGTGGTTGAAAGACTGAGTGACACAGCACCATCGCCCTGTGTAAGTAAAAACCATGTTGGGTCACATGGAGGACTCTGGGGTACAGGGTAGATTTATTTGGAGTTGATATAATGTGGTCAGAGGGAAATCATAGGCCTTGGAAGCATCATCTTGTTGGACTGTAGCAGCCTTGACTGCCATTGATCTCTGATGGAGAAGGACAGTTGGGTGTGGGGCAGAAGAGAGAAGATGTGGGCACAGTGGGAGGAGCCTGACCCTGTCTCTCCCACAGGCACTAGTTGTGCCAGGTCAAGAGTAGCAGAATGGAGGGAAGTGAGGCAGAGGGCTACTGATGTAGTGTAGACAGAGCCATTGCCTGGGACCATGAGGTTGTTGGAGACTCAGAGCTGGGAAAACTCCAGTCCTCATGGGAGAAAGGGAGAGCTGACATTAGAGATGTGTGGAAAGGCGCTGGTGTCTGTGGAGTCTTCTCTCTTAGTGACCCTTCACCTGTTTTACTCACAGGAGGGGGAATCTTCGAATAATTATTTTTTGGGGGATGCCCTGTGAGACCTTGGCCATAGAGGCTAGAAGAAAAGATGGGGTTGGCTCAGCAGGGTCTGTGAGTAAGAAGCAGACAGTGCAGCCCCCTCCCAGATATGAGCAGAGGCAGCATGTGAAGGTGATAACTGACTTCTACTCCAGGTTCCAACAGGATGAAGAAGCAACAGACTTCTTGCCGAGGACTCAGCATAGAAAAGTCTCCCTATAGGTGTCCTGTGTGAACATGAACACTGTGTTATTGTCTGAAGATTGTTTCATTATGATCCAGAAAATTATCAGTCTATCAGACATTGAAGTTTTAGAATTCACCCTAAACTGGAGTTCTCTGTTCAATCCCTACTTCGTACAAATGATAAATCTGCTCGCACTTTCTCTAGTCTGATGGAAAAGAACTCATATGAGCATGCCTATACATCACAGTTCAAGTGGTTTGTCTGCACTTTTATATCTGAGCTCTCCAGAATCAGCAATCTCCAACATCTCTATATGAATGGCAGGTTTTCTCAGTGACAACATGTAACACTTGCTCAGGTAAGCATGGAGAGATAGCTGTTTCTACTACTGGAGGAAAACTTTGCATTTTATGTTAAAAAGTAGTGGACCTGGTATCTGCCAGTCCTTGGAGAAAGAATTCTGAAGGAGTCGTAAGAATATGTAAGCATGAACTCCTTTCTATGTAAACTGAATCTAGGTCCCCATGACCACTCATGAAGCATTGGTCTGATTTGGGGTAGGAAATGTGTGCATAGTATGTGAGAAATGTATTTGGATTGGTCAGATTTAGTGAGAATGCTGCACTTTCTCCCTTAGAATCCTGGCTAATCTAATGGGAAGTGAACAGAGAAAGAATGGTACCCAAGAGTAGAGGGTCAGAATACCTGCGTAGCTCCCCAGGTGGTCTGTGCTCACAGTGTGTGAACACACACCACGATTTCCCTTGTAGGAAAAGCTTTGAACAGTGAGGGTCTGAGAGGATGGGAAATGGTGGCAGTGGGGATAAGGTCAGTGTAGGGTGAACTGGGAATCCCAAAGTGATAGTGACAGGTAGCAGAGAGCAGGGACAACTGTCTGAAATGCTCTGGGGTCTTTCATGGGTTGGTCCTTTGTGCCCTAGGGTATAACAGGTGCACAGGAATTCTGTGTCAGTGAGGAAAGGATGCTTCAGAGCTGTGCACTGAGCCATCCCACAGTGACAGAGAAAGGAAGCTGTGGGTGTGGCTTGAGTGATCAGATTCCAGCAGGCAGCACCATAGGTATTGACTTCCATCATGTGGTCCAACTGTCCCGGGAACACCTGTCCCCTTCTACTGCTGTGTGAAACCACTACACACCCTCTCCAGCATCATTTGTCTGAACTAACCCCTTGGTCTCTGCCTAGGAACCTAAAGAACCCCTTGGAAACAATCTATCACTCACTGCAAGCTATATCAAACAAACTTGTATCATTTATCACAATGCCACCACCTATGTCAGCTAAAACATCTGGACATGAGTGGAGTCCTACTGTCAAATTTCTTTTTGATGCCTCTCAGGGTTCTCCTAGAGAAAGTGGTAGACACTCTTGAGTCTCTGGAGTTAGAGGGGTGTGGGATAAAGGACTCTCAGCTCAGTTTCTTCCTCCCTGTCCTCAGACAATGTTCCAAGCTTACCAAGGTCAATTTCTATACCAATGACTTCTCCATGAATGTTTTGAGTGACCTTCTCCACCACACAGCCAACTTGAGCAAGATGACCATGGAGCAGTACCCTGCCCCTCAAGAGTGCTATGAGCTGGGTGTGGTCTCCATAGAGAGATTTGTACAAGTTTGCCCTGTGCTCATGGATACACTCAGAGCCATAAGGCAGCCCAAGAGCATCTCCTTTGCTACAGATGTGTGCAGTAGATGCTCTAAGCGCTGTGTGTATGAGCAGGAGACCAGGCTTTGTTCTTGCTTGCAGTAAAGAGGGGAGTGTTATTTTGGTTCTTGCCTTCTCAGGTTGGGTACATAGAAGGCTTTGGGCAGAGATTTTATACTAAAATGAGCAATGCAGACATACCTTCTATGAAGTAGGTTTGGGTGTTGGAGAGGTTTTTTAATCTGAGATACTTAGTGTAGTAGGCAATACTGTGTGTACATCAAAGATGACACTGGGAAAAAGCAATGCCGAGCAAACGGACTGTTTTTACCCATGCTGTGATCTTTACTTTTTTCTCTGTCACTTAAAAAAATAAAGTCTGAGCCAGGCGGTGGTAGCCCACGGCTCTAATCCCAGCACTCGGAGGCAGAGGCTAGCTGATCTCTATGAGTTCAAGACTAGCCTGGTCTACAGAGCAAGTTTCAGGACAGCCTCCAATGCAATACAGAGAAACCTTGTCTCTAAAAACCAAAAAATAAAATAAAATAAAAAGTCTGTAACTTGCTAGCCTTGAACTCTTATAAAACTTACTTTACATTGTTTTAGTTATGTTTATGTGATGACGAGGTACATGCCCCCCTAGTGCAAGTGCCAGAGGCATCGGATTCCTTAGTCAGTTTCCTGACATGGTTGCTGGAAGCCAAAGTTGTCTGCTCTGGAAGAGAAGCAAGTGCTCTACAGTCCTGAGGCATCTCTCTCTCCAGATTCTGGCCTTGAACTCTTAATCCTCTTGTTCTGACTCCACCTCCTACTTCCTGAGATTAGTTTTATCACCACCATATCCAGCCTGTACCCTACAAGCTAGGTGGTCACTACCATATAAGTCTCTTGGTCAAAATTCCTCTACTGTCCCAAAGCCTTCCTACACCAGATATAAGTCTTTATATTGTGGTTTCCATCTTTTAATTCAGTTAGGCGGTATTATTCTCATATTTGTGGGTCTAATCTGATAGCCACAGAATAATTTTGGATCAAACGCTTTTATGTCATTTTTGTGTTTATTGCTTCCATATTGGTCACTATTGTTGACTGACTTCCATACAGCAATTAATTGGAAGGTTTTGTATCAAGTACAGTCTGGAAAGAAAGAAAAACATGAAATGGTATGATTGCTACAACAGTACCTTTTGAGGAATAATCTTAAAATTAGCCCTTGCTAGGAAGCAGGTCTGTTATAATGCACTGGACATCACACTCATGCTGAATATCATAAGAAGTTGCAGTGACCACAAGACCTTATCATGTGCAAATCATTTTATATTTTACCTACAGTCAGTGCTCACAGACCAACACATTCTTAGGAGAATACACTCTCCCTGTTAAATGACTGCCTTGTGATTTTCTGAACCAATGCACATGCAAAGGGGGAGGACACTGTAAGCAGGTTCTTCATGTCAGTCTCTCACCTGGGCTCTAAGTCTTCATATGCAGCAGGGTTTATTATTATAGAATGACACAGCAGGGCCACAGAGATGAAGTTCTACATAGAAGCGATTGCATCCTCCTGCCTCTCTGGTTCATCTCCTCTAGGTACAGTTTCAATATGAGGTCCTGAACATGCAGATTCTGGTCACCGGTTTACAGGGGACAAACACTGATCTCCTACAACACATACTATAAAACACACACAGGGAACATGGCTAAAGGTCAAGGAACTGAAGAAGAAAAGGTATCATTACATACAAGGCACATGCTCCACCTCGTAGTCAAGCCCCAGAATGTTAGAAAATATGAGGGTATTTGGTTGTCAGTGATGCTGCTTATATTTTAGAGTTATGGTTTCAATTTATAGAACAGATTGGTTTGAAACACACTTGGAAGATTATTCTGCTCTCAATCTCCCAGCCATCGTCCTGTCTCAATTGGGGATGTAGCTCAGCTGGTTGAGTGCTTGCCTATGCATTATGAATTCCCTGGGTTTGATCCCATGTCCCCAGCACCGCATGACAGCAGCTGTGGTTGTCCGTGCCTGTAATCCAACACAAAAGTGGAGGGGGAAGGAGGATGTGAAGTTCAAGGTCTTCCTCGGGTTTATAGTCAGAGGCCACCAGGGTAAGTGAGGTCCCGACTCAGAACAGCTAAGAGCTAAAGACACTGCAGGAACTCCAGTAGACCTTACTAAAGCAAGAACAGCGCTGAAACAGACGCAAAGACTGCAAGAGGACAGCAGCCTGTCCCGAAGTGGTTGCTGCTCTGCAGAGCTGAGTCAAGTCTGTTGAAGTAAGCACCAATGGTCTGGTGACATACCCCCATAGGCCTGGTGGGTAATGTCTGGTTGTCTTCCTTCAGGATCTAGGTTGAAAACTTGAGTGATCTCGTGGTGAATAGCATTACAGGTGCTGCCCGTCTGATTCATGATTTATGCCACCTCTCTATTTCCTTCTGGTTGAATTAGCCAATCTCCTAAATGGTGAATCCTAAGGTGTTGGCACTCTCAGTTCTAGAAGGGATGTCTCCATCAAATCCCTCCCCTCAGGGCTCAGGTACCTTGTGTAAATGAGAAAGAAAGAATGTTAGAGCCCTAGGGGAGGGTGGACATTAGGAAACCTTAAACACCTCAGGACTGATGGATTTACTGTGCCATCATGAACAGGGCCCACATGGCTCTGCAACACAAGGGGCTCTGGGTTGAGAGGACTGACACAAGCTCCAACCAGTAAGCAAGAAGCTTACTAGGATGACATTTATAAACCATCTTGCCCTGTTGGTTAGTAAACTGTGATAATCCCAACCCAGCATTAGCACAGGACTGCAAATTACTTCTACACGGGAGGCAGAAAAGGAGGGTCTCAAGTTCATGCCAGCCTGAGGAACTCACTGTTGTCTTATTTAAAACAAACAGTCCTTCTGGTTGTGGCAGTGCACACCTGTAATCCCAACACTGTGGAGGCAGGGGCTAGTGGATCTCTGAGTTCTAGGCAATCCTGGTCAACAAAGGCATGACCACATCGGGAAATCCCTGTCTCAGAAACAAGTAAACAAAAATAGTATTAATAAGGATAAGGATTGGGGACTGAGGGCAGAAGTCAGTACTGGAATCCTGGCACACCACGTTTAAAAAAATAAAAACATCCAAAAACACAGAAAGAAAAACACAGCTGAGATGGACTTCAGTGGAAGTGTTCATGGAGACCTGGGTTGGATTAGGTGACAGAGAGAGAGAGAGAGAGAGAGAGAGAGAGAGAGAGAGAGAGAGAGAGAGAGAGAGAGAGAGAGGAAAAAGTGTGAAGTGTGTGAAGTGTGTGCATTGCTTGGTATATTGTTTGGTGTGCATAGGTGTGTTCCTGGTCTCCATCCCCAATTTTAAAAAGCAAGTAAATAAATCACTGAAGTAGAGAAATCTGCTCCTTGACATTTGTTCATTTTCTTGTGTAATCCTTGGGAGTTAACCTACAACCTTCTACATTTTTCCTTCCTTCCTTCCTTGCTTCCTCTTCCTTCCTTCCTTCCTTCCTTCCTTGCTTCCTTCCTTCCTTCCTTCCTTCCTTCCTTCCTTCCTTCCTTTCTTTCTTTCTGCTCTACTTTCTTGATTCTCATGTCTGGCTATCTGGGAGCTGCCTACCTTTAAGGTTATATGAGAATCTGACTCCTGCCAGTCACTGGGAATGAAAGTTACAGATCCATTAGAATGTGGAAGCTTCATCTTGTTTCCACCTATGCTAGATGGAGGGCTCAATGACCACTCATGAAGCAAAGGACTGAAGTGGGCTGAAAACAGGACAGATTCTAGTAAGGATGGCTTGTAATTCTTTATGGAATCATGTTAAATTATTCCAATGAAAAGGGAACAGAAACAAGAGTTTCATTACGTGTCGGGGGACTCACACCTGCATAGTCTAGAGGTGAGCTCTGTGCTCAGATCTGTGAGAACAACCTCCATTCTAACTCTAATTTCCCATGTGTCAGATTGTGGAGGCCAGGTAGGGACTGAGTGCGTGGGACATGGGACAGAGTGGTGGGAATGGCTATGACTGGAAGTGAATGTGAAGAGGCTGGGATAGAAACCAGGGTTCAGGGAATCCACGGGAAATGTCCTAGATCCTGAGAGAACTTTCATGTGTGGAACCTTGTTATGAGTGTCTTCTGGGATTATGGGCTGAGATGGTTTTCTGCTTGACAGACAGACCAGGATATGAACCTAGGGTTTGTCTTGACTGAGTAGATCCTAAGAGGGATCATCTTAGATATTGTCTTTGATCATTTGGTCAAACTGACCTTGGGATACTTACTTCCTCTTACCTCATGGTAAACCCCACCCCATTCTCTCCAATGTCATTTACCAGAGCTAACACCTTGGTTTCTCCCTAAGTTCCTGTCAAGACCCTTGGGGAACTTCTCCACCACTCACTAGCAAATATCACAACTTGAATTATTTCCCCTGTTGTCACAGCTTCTGTCAGCTCAATCATCTGGACATGAGAGGTGTGGTATTATTGGCTTTAGACCCCATGCCTCTCTGACTTCTACTAGAGACTGTGGCACACTCTCTGCAGTCCCTGGACATGCAAGGTGGTGGGATGGAGGACTCACAGCTCACTGTCCTTAGACCTGTCCTGAGCTGGTGCCTCTGCCTCACGAAGATCAACCTGTATGACAATGACTTCTCTGTGCCCATTCTTAAGGACCTTTTGATGCACACAGCCAACTGGAGCAAGATGAATGGGGAGTAGTTCTCCGCCCCTGTGGAATGCTATGATGACTTAGGTTATATCCTTGTCCTGGGCTCATGAATGCACTAAGGGCCAAGAGTTTCCCTGAGAGGATCTTCATTGCTATGATGTCTGTCAGAAATGCAGTGTTGTGCACAGGCTGGCAGATCTCTGTGAGTTCAAGACCAGCCTGGTCTACAAGAGCTAGTTTCAGGACAGCCTCTGAAGCCACAGAGAAACCCTGTCTTGAAACTGAAAGGAGTAAACTAAATTCAAGGGTTTTACTTCTAATAATTTAGAAATAAAGGCACCAGACCTTCACTCAGCCCCCTTCTTTCATACCCATGACAGGCTACGAAAAAGACATGTAGACCTCTGAAATAAGGAATCTCCAGATCC